AGCAGCCAGTATAGCAGAAATCCGTCAGAGACAGTGACAATTTCCATCACCATGCATCTAAACTTGCCTTTGCTCTCATTATCAGAGGCACTCTGCTGATTATTCTCATCTGTACAACATTAAAAATAGTGACCATTCATTAGCAGCGGCAGCTTACGAAGTCTTTTGTCTTACACGACACACACCATTCAAGAACGTATCCATGAAAAAACGTCACATGCACAACTTACATGATGGCACTGCTTTCACAGTGTTAAAGGACAGCATGAAAGAAACATAAAAATACACTCCACTATTCATGAATAAAAAATGGTGATGAGTTAAAAATGATAAAAAAAAACCTAGATCTAAAGATATTCTGCATTGTTCAAAGAAATTAGAAAAAAAATATTTTTAAACAACAGCGTAGGCAAGATTAGGATTCAATTCAAATCAAAATAGTAATTACTGGATAAAAGAAATATATAAAATACTGATTATATGATATTTTAAGTTTTATCATTTCCAAAAATTTCTGACAAAGTGGCAAAAATTATGATATGTAAGTATAATAGAGACTTAAAAAAAACAAAATGAAGTCGTCTCCATAACCATGGAGGAGGAGGGCTCTCATGGGAGAAAATTATAATGTTCAACAAATATTAAAATAATATTGAGCTGAGACAAAGAAAAGGTTAACCTACAGTTAATTTTGCTTATTCTAGGGGAGAAATTTTATGGATGAAAGGATGGTAGTCTCTAAAAGTTTTAATAATTAAAATTTGGAGTTTATATTCTACTCTACATTCACTTGTACGTTGCCTTCACAAAATCAAAATTCTTCAAACAGGAGGCAAAGACTGCAATGTACCTTTACTCAGCATAACACAAGGTAAAATGTAGGCATTCAATTGACATATTTAAATAAATAGATGAACTGAATGTAAATGTAGCATTTCAGTAGGTACTCAATTGACATTTTTAAATAAACAGATGAACTGAATGGAAAGCTGGGGTAAAAGATAAATGCAAACCATGATCAGAAGCTCTGCCTATAATTTTAGTTTGATTCAACATTAGGATAATGTTCAAATGGATGAATTAAATATTCGGTTAAATTACCTACATAGCTTATGTACTATCTCTCCATTTAAAATCAGGTAATTTATTTTAAATCAGTGCTGGGAAACACTCTGTTCTTCCTTGAACACTGATGAATTTACAAATGCAAAGTCAGACTTCTAAAACAGCCGGCTGTTTCGTTTAGACACACAGACAGACCTGCCTCGACCTCGTCACCCTGCTTCTCTGCCCCCTGTTCTTCCACTGGCCCCGTTTCTTCGTTAACTTCTGCTTTGGTAAAAGTTAAAAAAAAAAAAAAAAAGACCAGAAACGTATATTTGTTACTCTTACGTAGAACAAAAACAAAACATTTCAAAATATTCCTAATGTATTAGTGATTATTAAAACGACTAAGGTTATTTTAAACAAATTTCTGACATGTTAGGTAAGCAAATAAGTATACCGGTAATAAACCATCAGTTCCCTTTTATAATCACTTTGATTTGTAAATGAGAAATTTTGGCTTCTTAGAATATTAGAAATGGTGATAACTGTGTAACAATTTGTCTACTGACTTGAAGCATTCTTATAAAAATAAAATTATATAGCTTTTCTTCTAGAGAAAAAAATATGAGATTATAAACTTTTATTTTTACAAAATGCCACTATATCAAAATTAGGGCAAAGTAAAAATATATTAGAAATGTCTCACAGTTGTTTATTACACTGTACTTTCATTATAGTGTTCCTATTTTTTCTGGTTCTCAGACAAAGGGGTGATTAATGCTATATCACCATCAAGAAAAACAAAGATATGGTTTTAAATTAATTTCATTAATAGACTGAAATATAACAACAAAAATAAAAAGGAATTAAATTAAGACTTGCGAATTCTGTAGATGCTGAACAGGATTAGAAGATAAAAATGTCATTATTTTTATTCTAAAAGAATGCAATTAAATGATAACTTCTTACAACTTTTTAGAGAGAATCCAAACATAATCTGATTTACACTATTAATTTATACTCTATTTTCCATTATGTTCCTTTTATTTTGGGTAGGAGTTGAATACTTCTAAAGAGATATATATCTCTTTTAAAACTAAAGAAAATCACACAATCACATATCTACTGGTCTTTATATTAACATTTATAAAAAGATTGTTAAAACCATTCATATGTTTAAGCAAAACAAACCAAACAAAACCCTTTTATTTCAAACAGGAAAGAATAGGGGAGGTTTTGGGTCTCCTCTCTTATTTATAAAAATGGAAAAGCCACAATCAGGGACATTAAAGAAAAACTGTGGTTTTAAAAATATTTACAGGGCAGAAAACAGATAGTAAATAGAATGTTTGTTGAGATACCCATTAAAAATGTCCTCTGCCCTGATCAGGTAGCTCAGTTGGTTGGAGCATCATTCCAGTACAGCAAGGTTGTGGGTTCGATCACCAGTCAGGACACAAACCAGAATCAACCAGTGAACCCATAGTAAGTGGAACAGCAAAGCACTCTTCCCTGTTTGTTTCCCTCTCCCTCCCTCCCTCCTTTCTTCCCTCCCTCCCTTCCTTCTTTCCTTCCTTCCTTCCTTCTTTCCTTCCTTTTCTTCTTCCCCCCTTCCCTCCTTTCTTCCTTTCTTCCTTTCCTTTCCTTCTCTCTCTAAAATCAATCAATAAATTAAAAAAAAATTTTTTTAAGTTCCTCATCCCTGATTTGCCTAATTAGCTCCATGTCAGTTTTCGGGTATACTGTATTTATTATTAAAAAGAATGTAGCTATTCATATTCTAATATTTGATTGCTATAAAGTATATTAAAATTAAATTTACCAAAACAAAAAAATGTCACATAAACTATATTTCTGGCTTCATATGTCATCAAATAGCATCAAGATTCTATCTTGGGATGACAAAAATTCTATACATATTATAGAACTTCCCTCACAAAAAGTACTTTTAAAACAATATACCCCATTCTTAAGAAGCAGAGAAATGCTGAAATCTTTTATCAGGCTGCATAACAGAACATTAGTCACAAAAGCATTGAGTTGTTAAAAATTATGGCACAAAGCAAACACAAATAACCACAAAATGAGAGTTGATATGTCATCCAACTACAACTAACAAGACCAAGTTGTATAGGGCAAAAAAAAGTATTGCTGCCCACATGCAATGCAGTTGAAAATTTGTACAAATATGTTATGGACTATGAATCTGAATAAAAATATGGAGAGAATAACAAGAATAGTGCATTATACACAATTTGAAGTAGTTGTTCAGAAAGTCGTTCAGTTTTTATATAAATAGTTCATGCATTCTTTCAACAATTATTGAGGGACTACAATGTGCCAGGCATCATTCTATGTGCTGGAGATGATTCAGTAAATGAAACCATTCATTATTTAAAGTTATAAAAGTCATTTTCAGAATTGTATAATTAGCAGAGAAATGTTTTCTTGTCCTCATTAAATGCATGACACGTCATATATCATGACTCAGTGTGTTTTCCTGAGTCATAATGTACAGTGACAATAAACCTGCAGATAGTGAACTCTGCTATACTGTAAGCAGTCTCGCCACAACATGAGAAATGGTGGAAGAAATGCAAACCACAATCACTACCTAATTCAACAAAGTCCTCTTCTAGATAGCCAAATTTAGTCATCAAAGCTCACCATTAATACAAAATATGAAATGCAGGATGGTAACTAGGACTAGACTAGGTGTACACCCTCCAGGACATAAACACAGACTGCGATTGATACCTCTGGCGAAAGTCTTGCACAAAACAGAATTCTGCTTAAAAGGCAAATTGAATTTTGTACAAAGAGGAAATTCTATCTTGCCATTGAAGAGAAGTTAAACTCTTTGCAGTCTTACTTGACTGGATCAAAAAATTTAACTCCTGTTCATCATGTCTACATAAAACGTCAAATACTTTACCAGAATTCATGTAACCAAATAATTTTATATAAAAGTCTATACAATGGGAGGACATCAATTGCAGTTGGGTTTATTTTTTGCTTACAAAGCCCCCCAAAAAGGCTGTCAGCACAAAACAAACCCTCCTTTATGTACAGACCTTCACAAGGTTCTATCTCCTTGACTCCATTGTCTAGGAAAAACAAAATAAAAAAACAAAACAAAGAAGGGAACCAAAGCACAGGGGTTAAAAACAACAGAAATTTCCAAAGGTACCGAATGTATCATCAATTAAAGAAAATTAAATGGTGACTTAAATATTTGTGGGTTTTTGTCTTTCTTTTTGTACAGCGTATCCAGTTACCATATAAAGGGGACCACTTAAAAAATAACAATAAAAATTATTATATTCTGTCTTCCCATGCTTTTAGAGGTCCTTTAACCAAGAATTTATAGATTATTATTGTTTTTGGGGGGGGGTATGTTTATCTGTGTGAGAGCAAATAATGCTTCTTAGGCAAAAATTTGAAAGTATTAAAAAATACATATTAGAAATATCAGTACAACATGCATCTTTCTCTGCATATTCATGATTACCTTTTTCTGGCACTCCAGTTTTGAGAAGGATCACCATTGCTGTGCATCAGCTAACCAGTCCTTTGCAGTATGTGAAAATTGATTTGGCTAGTTACTAATAAACTTTATGTAACTGTCAACAATTACATAAAACTTAGTTGCAGCAAAGATCTATCATCCAATTGCTTGTTAAACAAGAGCATTCCATTTACTTCCTAAAATGCATTAACTCAAATTTGCAAAATGTGCAAGAGCAGTAGTAGTAGGTTATTTGAGCTGCAAATATTACACATTTTAAATGGAAAATATATATAATAGTCAACTAGCAAATGCAGCTGAGGCATTCCGTTAACAGAAGAAAACAAAGGAAGGTAGAACAAAAAAAACAACAAAAAAAAACATCTTGCTTCACCTTAGCCTCCATGTGCATTTCCAAAATGACACAACGAGAACTAAAACTTACTTCTCTCCAGCGTCCCCTTTGGTGGAAGCTGTGGCAGCTGCCGACCCCTTCGACCCGCCACCGGAGTGCTGGACGGGCTGGTCTGGACAGACCCAGTCCGAGGATGGGACCTACGAGATACACATTGATGTTCACTTTCAATATAACGAGTCAAATACTCTTAGTACATTTGCTTCACATGATAGCCGGATAAATGCAACTTTAAAAGAGGTTTAGCTGCTGATTAAAAGGTTAGGAAAGTAAGACACGATGTGGATATCTGAATGATTGTCTCAACAGCCAAAGATGCTTAGACTTTTGTGTAATATGCGTACGTACACGGACACATGCACAGAGAACCCTACAGTAAAAGCCTTGGGGTTATTAAATGCTACCCATACGAAAGTAAGAGGAGAATTCTGCAGCTCAAAAAGAAAAAGGAAAAAAAAAAAAAAAAAAAAAAAAAAGGTAATGGCTTACATTTCTTTCTACCATATTTCAAACTCTTCGCTCTAACCTCTCTCCCCTGGTCCAAAGAGCTTTTGACTCAGGCTTATCATCATAGATAACACTTCATTAGAAAACATCTGATGAAACTACAAATAAAATCCTGAACCACTCCACGTTCAGCTAAGGAAGGTAGTGGTGAATACGTGATATTCGCGTTGATCGGAAGAAACTAAAAAATCGACTTTTGTCACGATGAAGACTATCCCCCACAGCGATGTCCAATGAAGACGAACAGGTTCTCATTGTGCAGGGGAACATGGTGGTCATGAGGTGTGTCCGGTGGGGGCTTCCCCAGGACCACGGATAGATGAGAAATCACAAAACAAATGCAGTCAGGACAGTTCAACAGTTTACAATGGTTTGCCACACACTATTATATCTGCCGAATATAAGTAGTGTGCTTACACTGAGAAGGTTAGTACTGACTGTTATTAGCGATCAGCCAGGGGTGACGGGAGAGACCAGTTAGCCGCTGGGGAAGATAACGTGGTGTGCTGGTGGGGGCAGAAGGGGAGTTAAGTCTCATGGATTTATCTTTCACCTCGATAAGGCAGGTGAAGGAGGGGCAGATCTTCCGGTCATTAATGAAGGCATCGACCTCATGAGGTTTGTGTCGGGACGCTCAGTGGATCTGGAGCGGGCGGGGATCCGCTCGGGGACGGGCCGCTGTTCTGTTGATCTGGATCTGTGATAGAGCTGTCTATCTGCTGCTTCGCAATCCCTGCAACGTTAGTCAGAAAGCAGCTCAGTTGATCTGCAGTGCCTTTCTGCTATTTGGTTATGATGCATCAAACTGATTTGTGAAAACAGTAATTGTTTAAAAATCACTGCGTAAGGAAAAAAAAAAAATGTAAGAGAAAAAAAAGTCTCTTCCCAAAACATAGTCTGAACAAATGCTCACTAAATTCTTAAGATTTCCGAAGGAACCCAAATCTGCCTTAAATAGCAATTCCCGGTGAAGATAAGCAGGAGGTGGTCGGTGATATTCCCCAAGACAAACAAAACTGCCTGCTTTGCGAAGTGGATTCCCTTTGGGATATTTGAAATAGGTGAAGTATTCTACTTTAAAAGAATTCAGTCAATTTTTTCCTAACATGTTCAAAAGAGTGTGTAAAAACCATGTAAGCGCTAGTCTCAATAAACCCCTAAGGCTGTTTGTTACACCAAATAAGATATGAAAAGACGTTCAACACATAGTATACTGATACACCTGAACATTCAAAGAGAAGAGTCCAGATATTCTGAGAAAACAGAGCTGCTTTGCAGTCAGTAGCCATAGTTAACCATGGTCTGCAGGAAAAACCACCGTAGAGAAAGCTGGTGAATCAGCCAACCTATTTCAGTGCAGTTCAGTGATGCCAACCAATACGATTCAGAATGGGTATGAATTGATTGAAATAATAATGATTCTGAAACAATGTGATCTCTTTGACCACAAATATTTCTTTCTTAGCCCTGGAGTCTATCATAATGCTTTTATATCTAACATGTGGCCAATGAATGTTTTCTAATACAAACCCCGTCATCAGTGAGACAACCCTAAAAATACTAGCTTTGACTCTAGAACTCTAAATAATACGTAATCTAAAATATACTGCAAATCAAACTATCACCTCCCCATCTCGTTGTAACTACAGAAATGGAAATACTTATGTATTTTAAATGGTAAAGCAAGAATTAGTTCCTCTCATGACTAATGGGTCAAGGATTTCCACTTTACCAATAAATCCTCAGGCTTATTTTTTGTAAAGAAACACAATTTAAAATTAAATAAAAAAAAGAAAGAACACAATTTCCCATATGTAATTAATTATATGGCATACAATTTTAGATCAATAGATTAAGTGATATTTTAGGAATTGAATACTGGGTTTATTTTACAATTTTCTTATCATTATCTGATATTTTCATTCAAGGTTAATATATAAGTCAAATAGGTTTTAAATATTTTGAAGTCCATGTACCATAATATGATTTATTTCCTAAGATAATTTTGGTATTTTTATATAAATACATATATAATATTCAATTACTTGTCAAAAAAGGGAAAAAGGAAACTTGGGAGTTTAAAAACTCTGTGGAATACCTATGACTACCCAAACAGAAATTCAGGCTATTTAATTTATTTATACAAAATTTGATTTATTCTGATCCAATCAAGCAATTTTTCCAAGTGAAAAAGTTAATATATACACACCTTCACTTCTTTGACAATACATTTTTAATAACTGGAATATATCACTGTGAGTAAAATCTAGGGAATCATTTCAATTGTGTTGCTATGTTCCTTGTCCTTTAAATGGGACTGCTATTTATAAAGCAAACGGGTCACTCCTTAGGAAATATCCCTTAAAAAAAAAAAAAAAAAATATATATATATATATATATATATATATATATATATATATATATATATATATAATCTTTAGTAAAAAAGTTGTTGGAAGACTATAATCAGTTTTTAAATTTTACTTACATTGCCTCATTTCATACATAATATAAATGATATGATTTCCATGGGTGAAATGGAAAAATCTGCTAAAAAGTAAAACATGAAAAGAACCACAGGAGGAGGCAGAAAGCCCTGAGATACTCCCCACAGTTAAGTGGGATGGAAAGCTGCCACGTTTTAAATTTTGACTGCACGGCAGAAGGTCAAGGTAACCTCTGCTCCCACGAAAGGTCTTACTAGACAAGAGCTGAGTAATTGCTGAGAGCATCGAAAGCAGCCAGGCCGAAGTCTCAGGAAACGCTCAGTCTTATTGCAGGTCTATAGGGGACTGAAATATAAAGCCTGACAACCTACACTTGGTCCATTTTCACTTTAAGATAATAACATAAAGAATGAATCCTGAATACAGGGTAGCAACTGGAAGGTGGGAAATGACGGAAAAACCATTTATAATGCATAAAATATTTCAGTGCCTATTTGGGTTTTTCAACTTGGGGTCTGCATTTCAATATAATAAGTCATTTCCTTTGCAACCCTACTTGTGTACTTTATTTTACTTTATGCATTTTATATATTCTTATTTTTATTGATTTCAGAGAGGAAGGGAGAGGGGGAGAGAGAAACATCAATGATGAGAGAGAATCACTGACTGGCTCTCTCCTGCACGTCCCCTGCTAGGGATTGAGCCTGCAACCTGGGCAAGTGCCCTTGGCCAGAATCGAACTGGGGACCCTTCAGTCTGCAGACTGATGCTCTATCCACTGAGCCGCCAGGGTTTACTTTATGCGTTTTAAAACATTCTTCAAAAAAGGTGGCCATGGGTTTTACAAGATTGCCAAAGGTTTAGAACCACTCATATAAAAATTTAAGTCTTTCTTAGGTAAATAATTAGTTGTCTTCCAAAAAGCGATTTAATATATGTCATGGTTCTATCCTTTAAATAAATAGGTTATACTTTCTAATGTATGTTTTAAATAGTTCACTTTTTATACATGTCATTTACCGGGACAAATTACTGCTCTGCCCTATTTAGTGGCTGTTATTCCAAAATGCAAGCATTTGAAGAGGATACAGTTGAACAGCCCTCTGCAAACAGAGCTAATTCCCGTTGATGATAATATCGGGACAAGAGCCCGTAATTGTTACACCCAGCTTTAAAAGCATATAATAGTGCACAAGGCTGTTGAGATGAGGATTTCTAAAGAAAGAATAATTTTATAATCATCCAGTGAAATTGACATTTTTAGCCATTTTTTTCTCCCAGTATAGTTGCTTTTAAAATATTTTTTTAGAAATTCCAAATATCTGACACAACTTCCTGCTTATTTCACCATTTTTGCTATTCATTTATCCTATTTTAAATCAAGTACAAGGAATGTATGCAGTGTAATGGAAGAAGAGGCCATTGAATATTCTTTTCTATAACTACTTATACCAACCATCACAATGATACAACTCTAAATCAACATAAGCTCGATGCAGAGTATCTCTCTTGATATGATAGAAGAATACTAATTCTACTCAAAAATTTAAAACAACCAGCACAATGCAAAGTTTCAAAGTAATACTCGGATATGTCAGTGAAAATGTCCTAAAATATAACTCAGACCCTGAAGTCTATGCCTAAATCAGTCTTATTTCATGTTTGTATTGTAAAGATTCCCTAGAAAACCTAACAGGATTTCTTAAAAAATAAAACTTGTAAAAAGCTGTTTAGGAATTAGTTTTTATTTCTAGAAAGAAATTATTTCTTTCCAAAGCTGAAATCTTTAAAAAATGATGTCTCTCTGGGGGCAAGGCGTATAATCTCAGGTTTGGTGTAAGAAATGTCTGTCCCATATCCACATTGTGTAATATATTATAGTAAACTGATTCACACAACAGAAGCATTATACCTTTGATAAAATAGCTTAAATGTCTAGAGATTTTCTGAACATGAACTGCATAGTATAAGAAATAAATACATAATGATATTTTTAAATGAGATATTTTAGGGTAATTAATATAACATATATATGTGTAATGTAACAAATAATTTAAAGTAATCATATGGCTCAACTATATAATTTTCATGATCATCATAATGTAGGAGGTAAAAGTTTAACTTTTTTAAAAAAAAACTCTATATTAGTTTAGCATTGCTTTCAAAGTTAAAGAAATTGCAAGATACAAAACACCATGGAAATCATGGGAAATAGGCATTGTGTACAAATAGGAACATTTTATTATTTCGGTGGGAGATAGATTAATTTATCCCTGGGAATGACAGCATTTCTCCATAGGGTATTTCTGTTCAGTTAAATATAAATTATGTATTTTTTTAAAGTAATTAAGTTTATTAAAAATAACAGCAGTATCTAGAGTCAGCCACATTAGTAACAATCTAACATGGGAAAATGTCAATAAAACATATGTTGAGAGACAGCAAGTCAGCTTTAATTTAGAAAAACATATTACTATTACCCATAAGCATGAATTATCATCAAAAAGAGAAGTAAAGTGTCTCATATCTAGAAAAGCATTTTTTAAAAATAGTAATTATTTGAAACAGCAAGAAGAAAAGGTTAAGTATCTTAATTTATTCAAGATTAATAGGGTCAAATATAACAATGTATTATTGATATGCACACAGAGAAACATATAAGATGTAAATATCTTGAGAATGTTTTGAGTTGAGTATCTTATTAAGTCTTTATAATTTTTGTTAATTTTTACTTCAAAAAACAAAAAACACCCACCAGATACAAAACTATGAATAAGCAGGATTATTTACTTACCAACAATTAAAATGCAGCAAATTAATACATCTTTAAAATATATATATTTTTTTAAAATCCTGAGAGAAAATATAATTACCAACTTCTATCTATAAGATTTCTATTTTACTAAATAGTTTCCATTTTCAATGGATATTAAAGTTTAATAACATTTGTCAATTGTAAGAAATTCAAGTTAGTCCACCAAGAATTTGGCCTTGTTTTCCCTTCTTAGATCCTTAAAAATTCCATAAAATACCAAACATTTTAAAGATGTAGATCAAAGGACAGAATTATGCATTGTTATTCTTTATAGGAGTAAATGTGATGGGACATGGTCCCCACATTAGACTCTCTGACTATCTGAGTGTTATGTTCAACAGCTTCACTGATTGACTTGGAACAATTCTTTAGCTTTCCGTTTGCTTTGCTGGCTTTACACTGACAGTGGAATGGGAATAGTGCAAGTTCCTCATACACACTACTGCCTGCTACCTTAGCTGTCACTTCATA